TGTGGAAAGAATTACGGCTGAGAACGATGTTTCCCCACCAATTCTATAACCTTACGGAGAAATACCTCCGGATAGAAAATTCGCTGGTGGCACTCCGCCGTCGCGATCTGCGCTTCTGGCAATATGTCTAGTAGAGGGAAAGCCAAAGGGCTGATCGCAGAGGGCCGCCGACGATCAGCGAAAGGGAAGAAACCTCGCTACGCGCCTAGAAAGTCTTATGCACCCATTCCTCGTCGCAATCGTGACAGGCACCAATATACTCTACTGAACGCTTTTGTATCTGCCATTCTTAAATGAAGAAGCCAGTCTGCTCAGAGAGCCCGAGCCCGAGCCCATGAAACCCCTGCGACAACCAAAATAATAAAAGACTATCGCTATCATCAGGACAATGGGCATCATACTGATGAGTGTCAAGCTCTGAAACAACACATCGAAGAGCTTATCAAGAAGGGGCATTTCAAGGAATACATCGATGACTCTGCTCCCTCGAAGATAAGATCGGGGGGAGCCGAGTAAGAAGCGCCGCGATCAAAAAAGGGTATTCAGTCTCAATTTGATTTTCAAGGGGCCACACTTCGCTGGAAATTCGCGAGGTGCCCTAGAAAGGTATGCTCCGCGAAACACATCACGACCCCATTAGAGTGATGAGTTGTGGAACGCGACCGCAAAAGGTTCGCAAGGATGTGGAAATCTCCTTCTCCGAACAGGATGGCGGTCAGGTTGCTCATCCCACGACCGATGCCTTGTAATCACTCCTCTGATAGGGCGCTATAACACCCAGGAATGTTAGTGGATAACGAAGTGCTGTGAACATCCTGTCCGCATCCCTTTGAAAGGATGAATCTGGACAAGGCTGACCTGAAGCTGCTGCCTCGTTCCCGCTCTACGATCACGGGAAACCATCTACTCCCCAAGGGAACAATCTCACTCCCAGTCACACTGGGCGATTTTGACGAAGTGACCAAGGTATTGATTTCTTAGTGTAGACTGTCTATCAGCCTCAATGGATCCTTGGGCGACCTCTGCTAAGACAGTTCAAGGCGGTCACTTCAATTTACCATCTGAAATAAGTTCCCACCTCGACGGGGATCGGGGAAGTCAGTGGGTCTCAGCGCGCATCGCGCGACTGCTATGTAAAAGCGGTCCACATGGCGTACAAAGGAAAGGGCACCTCGCGCAGCAATCATAGGCAGGCCATGGCGATCAATAGGATCGATCCACGACCTGGTTTGGCCGAGGACAATCTAGACCCTTGCATTCAAGACTGCCCTTCCAGTGGGCCAGTTGAGGACCTGACTGTAAGTGCTCAGTCGACCAGAAAGAGTCGAGCAGGGTGTTAGAGTCGGTAAAATCTCAATCCCCAACTCGCTACCGAACTGACAGGCTTCCTCAGGGAAAACATCGATGTGTTTGCATGGTCGCACGCATATATGATCGGAATCAGCCGGATGTCATTTGCCATGCTTAAATATCATAGTAAGACAAACCAGTTCGTCAGAAACGAAAGCGATGGATCCAGAGAGGTACTCTGCCCTAAAGCTAGAGGTGGCAACAACTCCTCAATAACGATACATCCGAGAGGCACTATACCGACCTAGGTTGCCACCCGATTCTGGTATGAAGCCCAATGGCAATGGTGAACTGCGTCGACTTTAGCGACCTCAACAAAGCTGCCCTAAAGACGCTTCCCCCTACTAAGAATTGACCACTCGTGGATGCCACCTTGGGGCACGAGCTGCTAATTTTTCATGGACTCATACTCGGGGTATAATCAGATTCTGATGTATGCGCCAGACGAAGAGCACACATCTTTCATTACAGATTGGGGGACTGTATTGCTATAAGGTCATGCCTCGGCCTCAAGAACACTGGCGCGACCTACCAGTGCTAGTTAATCGGATGTTCTCCGACCAGATTGGCAAGTCAATGGAGGTCTACGTAGATGACATGCTGGTCAAATCTCTGTCACTGTCAGATCATGTAGCAACTCTCGCAGAGATCTTTGATATCCTCCGACTGTAAAGAATGAAACTGAACCCGCTCAAGTGTTCGTTTCGGGTATCCTTGGGTAAGTTCCTGGGTAGCATAGTTAACCAGCGGGGAATAAAAATCAACCCAAAATCAAGCTCTCCTCGATATGGAAAGCCCGACCAGCAAAAAAACAGGTCCAAGAGTCTTAACCGGACGAATAGCGGCTCTTAGTCATTTCAATACGAGGTTAACATATCGCTGCTTGCCGTTTTTCAATGTTTGAAGGCCAATAGAAATTCAAATGGACTCCTGAATGCAACAGGCGTTCCAAAGTATAAAAGAACACCTCTAGAAGCCACCACCTCTCCTCTCCAAGCCTCTTCGCCGAGATCTTGCCTTTGTGCCTTTGTGCTCTCCAGTTCACGGTCAATGCAGCCTTAGTTCGAGAAGAGGAAAAAGTTCAATGCGCTTGTTTACTATGCGAGCAAGCGCTTGTCGAATTTTGGAGATGTTATATCCAGAAATGGAACGATTAGCCTATGCCCTGCTGATCGCTTCCAGAAAGCTACAACCTTACTTCTACGCCCATACATCCACGTATGACTAATTACCCCCTCAGGCGTCCTCCAGAAGCCAAAGCCTCGGGTAACTGCTCATGGGCCATGGAATTAAACCAGTTCGACCTGAAGTGCAAGCCCAGTTCACCATCAAAGGGCAAGCTGTTGCTGACTTCATTTCAGAATTCTCTCTATCTCCCTGTGAGTCAGAGCAACAGCCTAGTGAAGCCATCAGAGACCATTAGAACCTATCCCTGGGAGCCTCTATGTCGACGGTTCATCGACCAAGAAAAGGGCAGGAGCAGGTCTCCTCCTCTTGAGTCCCGAAGGGCTCGCATTCATGGCATCCTGCGGTTCGGATTCAAGGCAACCAACAACGAACTGAGTACGAAGCTCTGCTCCTGGATTACGGTGCCAAGAAATGGGCGCAACCGCGATCAGCATTCACAACAACTCTATCTGGTCGTCAACCAAATCCTAGGAGAATACCAGCCAAGGAAGAAAACATGATGCGTTTCGAAAGAAGCTAAGGCTGCGCTCAAGCGTTCAAAGCACTTCCGCGATCACCTAATCCACAGAGATAGTAACTCTGTGGGAACGCCTTGGTAAGGATAGCCTCATGTTGGACTCAAGGCACCTGATACCATTCATGTTCGGTTCATCGAGACCCCGAGCATCAGCCTGATCGACAGGCCATGAATGTAACACAATCATATTCTGGATGACGCTCATTTACTGGTATCTCAAGGATGGGAACTTGCCCGACGACAAGGTCGAGGCACGGTCTTGCGAATAAGATCGCTCGTTACTCTCTCGTCGGAGACCAGCTGTACAGGCGAGGATTCAGTGCCCCCTCCTCCAATGTGTTGACTAGTGAAGAGGCAGATTATATCATGAGGAAATCATGAAGGGATCTGCGGTAATCACACTCCACACGATCTCTCCCGACAAGGTTGTTCATCAAGGATATTATGGCCCCGGATCCAGAGAAGATACCAGCAATTTTGTCAAATGGTGTGACAAGTGTCAGCGGTCCGAACATTCTGCAAGCCCCCTCTCACGCAGCTGATAACGATGACTAGCCCCTGCCATTTTCAATGGGGGTCAACTTATCAGTCCCATGCCAGTCGGAAAATGGGAGTCAAGTATGTCGTGGTCGCGGTAGACTATTTACCAAATGGGTGTGAAGCTAAACTGCCGGCCGCGATCATGACTAGAAAGCTGAAGACTCGTTTTCAAAATATAGTGGCTGCTACGGATCCTCACACCCTCATCTCGGATAATGGAAAGCAATTCAACAACGAGGAGTTCAAGCATTCTTGCGACGAGCTGGGCATCCATAAAAAATTTGCTCTAGTCGCAAGACTGCAAGCAATGGCCAAGTTAAGCTTGTCACACAAGACCATCAAGCACACTCTAAAGGCCAAACTTGGGGCAACCAAGGGAAATTAGGCCGACGATCTCCTCGAAGTCCTTGGGCATACAGGACAACTCTGAGAACTTCCACCTTAGAACGCCCTTTTCGCTAGCATACGGCTGCGAAGCAATGATTCTGTGGAGGTAGGAACTGCTTCGGCACATCACTATAAAATACTTTGGGAAAGACTTGTCTTGTAGCTACAGCTTGCTGTATGGAAAGAAAACTGGATAAAGAGAAGTTAGGCTTCGGCTCTACTCCCTCCGATTCAAGGATAGCCTTTCTGTCCGTCGGTTTATGTCTGAATGGGACCTCCCAATGGTTTTGTGCATTCTTCTCATAACTTGGCTGCGTAGTTGGGATGAAGTGTGGATGGTTGGGTTGATGAAACTGTTTTTTTAATCTTTCGTTACTGGTTTCTTACTGCCTGCTGTTTGCTTGTGGTTGGGATCCAGTTAGTTTGCTGATTAGGATTAGTGATAACTTTGTTTATAGGTCTTTTGATCATATATGTCCAGCAGAGCTGTGCCCTCCTTTTTTGGGCGTTTGCCTTGATTTGTTGTGTGTATAGCATCTACAGGCCTGGGTCTGTCTGGGCTATGAGTATAGGCAGCTCCTTAGTCTTTTTGTGTTCTGGCTTTGCCCCTTGGGTCTGTCCAAGGGTTTGCAAGCTTAAGGGTTTATTCCTTTTCTTATTCGTTCCTTTTCTCTGTATATATACCGGGTTTATCCAAAAAAAAAAAAAAAAAAACTGAAGTTGGGGCTTTACTTAGCCACTGCTTCATAGCACACTTGACTGAGCAAGACAATATATTTGTCTTTCTCTCCAACACCATCCTCTTTTTTGTTTCTTCACTTTCCTTTCCTTTACGGCAGGCTAATGTTGACCAAGTTTCTTTATCTTTGTACCACCATTACAGGCTACAGCTCAATTGTTTTCCTTCCCTCTTTCTTTATGAGTAAAGCTTCTAGATTCCCGGAATCAATCGCTAAACGGTAGTAGGATTAACAGTGAACATAAAAATAAAATTGGATTTAACAAGTGAAATAAGACATCATTTACTGAAAAACAGCAAATTTGGATCAAACCAAGGAGCAAGGCTGAAGAACTGAGCTTAGATTGTTTTATTTGTTTCAATGCACATCAGCTGATTACATCCAACACAAAACTACAATTTCAAATTTCATCTTTCATATGATCCTAGAGATCAACAGAACCACTCAAAATTTATTCCTAGAAGGCTATACAAAAATCTTGCTAAGTAATGAAAAAATAATTTCAAAAGATAAAGACGTAAATTTAGGTGATACAAACAGTAAGGTTCCTTTGCCATCTTTGTTTACTATGCCAACAAAAGAATCCACACTAAATACATCTCACCTGCTACTTTCACTTGGAAATACAATGTCTGGGTTTCGAATGTATGGAACCAGTCCTACCGACTCTTGCCAATTTCTTCTTGTGTCATGAGAATCAGAGGTTATACTCCACAAGACATCCTCATTCTGCACTTTTCTACTCCCTTGTCTGTTAGATATTACAATGGCCTTTGACTTCGAAACTGGATGTTTACTGGACTTACCCATGCCACTAGCTAACAACCAGCGGGTCCCAGACTGTTGCTGTGTCTTGGTACCCCAAATCTGGTTTGAGCCGAGCTCAGTGTTCAACCCTGCAAGATTGACTTCTAAAATTTTAAACCATGGAGTTCCTTCTATTTCTTTCTCATTTTCTTTGTCACCTGACTCATTTAAGCTGGCTTCATTGTCCTTTTCCTCATTTCTATTTAAGATTGTGCTGCATATTTTTGGCTTAAAAGGGAGAACAACCCTCTCCATCTGAAACAGTGCTAGCATTGAGGTGCCAACAGGTTCATAGTTTCGAAGAGGATCTCGAAGCAACACCCTGAGAGCTACTGTGAGGTTATTTCCCAACAAACCGTGGTTTTTACCAGATGCCTCATCCCAGTTGAGGTGCCCTGCTATGGTTCCACCAACCAAATCTATGCATTTAGCATGATGGGCTGCCAATATCTTTAACCTGCTCTTGTTAATATGATCTTCATCACCGATAATTCCACAATCCAGCTTCAACCACTCATCAAATGTTACAGACAAATCCATCAATTCATCATCATTAGCATCATCCCTGACATCAAGTAGTTGCAATTCTGCAGCTCCTTCTGAATTGAGTAACCCAACCAAATTGGTATTTTTCCACTCAAAGTTCTTCTTGATGGGGTGGATTCTGATGCGTGATGGGGCATCCGCATCAGACATGCTGGACTGAATTCTCAAACCTTCAATTGACAGAGTCTCGATCCTATCCATTGCTAAAGAAGTAAAATTTTCAACGGATGCCCAGCCTGAGTCGATCGCATCACTATTTAAACCTGAGCTTTCATATTCATAACTCCAACCATATTGAAATTCTTCATCTTCCAGTCTCCTACCAAAGGCATCCTGCCCAACTATTGATCCATACAGTGGTGCAGCCTGCCTGTATTAAAATAAGAAACAAATTAATACATCAGGCATATCAAGTAGCGAAAAGAATTTAAAGAAAAACAGAAATAAAGGGAACATATACATGATATGGAAATCAGGAATACTTCATATATATGTGCAATTGATGTGTTGACAAACCTCTCTGACACCATAGTTATAGGTGTGGCTTCCAGTGCTACTTCTTTCAGTGTCTTCCCAGTAATATCCTCCAAAGGCATTAATTTCTTTGTCTGCACAGACAACTTTTTAATTCCAACTGATGCCAAGTGCTCCAGTACGTCACTGATTTCGGAGCCCATTTCTGCTGGAAGCACAACTGGTCTAGAAACTTGCATGATCAGGCTCCCAACATTTTTAGCATTTCTGAAAAGTAAGGGACTCATAGACCTCAGATAACCTCCACCCTTTGTTTGAACAAAAGGTCCAAAGCCATCTCCAAGTGCAGGTAACTCAAATGAATATTTAGAAGAGAGCTCCACTGGACTTCCAAATCCATCAGAGCAATAGCGTGGAGAACTCTGAAAGGCCCTCTCATTCAAGCCCCATTCTCTCATTAAAGATTCAGTTTCCAAGTCTTCAAGAATGTTGGCCTTCCTTCTATTTTTCAACAACCAATCTGCACTCTTGTGCTCATCCTCAGAACTAGGAATATCTGGAAAGTGACCAAAATCTTGGAAACAATCCCAGCTACCAGATCCAGTTGGAGCAATGCAACTGAAATGCACCTGATCCTCCTCTGTGTCAAAACCTAAAATGAAATTACCTGAAGCCAGAGTCTCCTTTTCAAACTCTCTCAACAGACGCTCTCTAGGAGAACTGGGATCACCATCAGAGCTCAAGCCAAAAGAAGCATGCTCAACTCTCAGCATATTTAAAAATTCACTTGCCACTGACTCAGTAGCATCATCCAAGCTAAGTGATTTCTCTAACATTTTACTGGCTCTGTAATTTGATTTAACATCCATGTAGTTTTCTTGCTCAAGAAACTCATCTACATCAAGTGGAGATTCTAAATCCGCCAATTCTGAAATCAATAGGCCGCTGAAAGCTGATTCCAACTCGTCCATGGTTGATCCAGTGGGAGACACAGTAATCTCTTTATCTTGGCTGTCATTCACAACTACTTCATCCATGTACCCACTAGAGGTACTTTCTTTTGGATTGAATCCTACATTCTCTTCAACGGCTATGTTATCATCTCCAATTATCTCATCCACATTAATCATTTCAACCACCGAACCATCAATCTTATTAGCAGCACTTTGTTCCAATTTCAACGGTTCCTTTTCAGACATTTCTATCCCCTGTTCAATCACAACGAAGTCAGCATTGTCACTCTCACTTTCACTAGTATCTTTAGCAGACTCCAGATTCAGATTATTTGTACACTCCACATGTTCAGACGATAAATCAAACTCTTCAGAACCATGCACGTTTGCTTCATTAAGTTTCTCATATAAAAACTTTATTGACTTGGACAGCTCCAACCCCAGAATTGGTGAAACTTCCTCATAAACCTTGGCATCAAGAGACATTGAAGAGAGGGCAGACCTGAGGTCTTAGCTACTAGGAACACTTCCAACCCTTCTAAGCATATTATTGTCATTACTAGTTGCAAAAACATTCATATTGTTCTTTGATTGAACAAAATTGTCCTTCATCACCGAGAAACCAAAACTAACATTTAGTGTTGCACCCTTAGCCTTGCCTGCAAGCTTGAAGTTTGTTGTCCACTTACCAGAGCTTTTCTCTCCCTCCAACTCCTCCAAAGTGAGAGGTAATAGCCGGGTGAGATCAACCCAATGCTTTCCTATATCAACTCCCGGAGCCTCAACTACAGAAGCCAAAATCAAAGAAAGCTTCTCTTCATATTTTGCTGAATTATGGGACCCACTTCTACTACCATAAACCCAACATTTATCCATCAACGTCTCTTCAAATTCAGCAATGCCCTGCACAACCGTCGATTGACGGGTTCGTAACACCTTATCCTTTCTCTTCCAAAGCACAGATAAACTAATGTCATTGAAATTCACTGGCAAACCTTCAATTGAATGCACATGGAGAAAAAAACATATATTGAACCTGTTATGCCCAATGTGCGCTAAAGCTTTAAGTGGCTTCTTCCAATTCCATAATAATGATGATTTCTTATTCTTGTGCAACACATTTTCATCGTGGATTCCTGAGTTCTGTTTTGATTTTGAATCTGCGAAACGGGTTCTTTCAGCAGATTTAGATCGATTTGGTGAAATCAAAGCCTTTGTCCTGGTTTTCGGCAAGTACAAGGCTTTGCTTATTGCCTCAATATCACGCAACAACTGGCTATTATCGTTCCCATCACTCTTATCATTTGCAGACTCAATTCTGGACAAATTCATTTCCTCATGAAGCAAAAATACCAATCTCGAACTCAAACAAAATTTAAAATATACGTTCGTAGCAATTCAAATTCTCCATATATTTTCAGTAGCTCCTTGAATTAAAAAAAAAAAAAAAAAAAAATCAGCACAAAGAGAATAAACATTTAAAAGAAAACCAGCATTCAAGCAATTAAAAACAAATAACAAAATCGAAATACAAATACACACATTTAACAAAAAATGAATCCAAACAGCCAAAACCCTGTTAAATAATACCCAGTTTTCCATATATGATTTCTGACCAATCAAACAGTAGCTATAATAAATCAATTGTTGTGCTAGCTTACCTCAACGGAGCGTCTTCTCACAGACGAGACGAAAACAGAGTCGATACAAAGTTTACTTTATTATTTTTGAGAGGTTTGGCTTCTGAACCATAACAAAAAGAGAAGAGAAGGGTTCATTTAGCAAAATTTTAAGGAGTAATGCGGAATTTATTTTCTGGACATACTGGGAAAACTTATGAGATAATCGTGAAAAAAGAAAATGGTTTGTGTCTTACCCCATGAGTAGAGGTGACGCCGTGATGGACTGGACTCTGGAGTTCGGAAATCTTGAGTGGTACAATGAATAGATCTACTACAATCCGATTTCAATGAGATCGGATCTTCAGCCTTTGATTTTCTCCTCATCTAACGTATATATCCATCACATCATCCAATTAGGCTGTGAAATAGTTAAAAAGTAACCCTCCTGTATGATATATAACAAATATCGATTCTGAAATAATAAAATTATAATACCATTTATTTTAACGCTAAAACTTAACAATAAAAGTTTATATTTTTAAAACCTGGGGAAATAACAGCCTATTGGTAACTATTTGGAAAAGGGAAATTATAGAAATTGGCCAGTCTGGGGTCCGAAAAGACATTATCATATTAACAGTATTTTCATAATTAATTTTGTAAATAAATACGGGTTTTTTAAATAGAACCTTTTGTTTAGTTTTTTTGTGAGCATCTGTTGCCTCAGAAATGTGACCTAACTCGGGTATTTGTTTTTTTTTTTTTTTTTTTTTTGTGTAATGAACACTCGCTGATTTAAAATGTGATCTGAACTCCCATTTTTTATGGGTTAGGGTATTCTGTTTAAGTTTGAAGAAGATAATGTTTTTACAAAAATTTATCAATAACAGTGAGAGGTTAATATATTTTTTTGAGGTTAAATTGATAAATTTAAAAGTTTGAATTGATGATATTTTTGAAACCAACGGATGTCCACTACAAAAAAAAATATCAAACACATGAGGGCTAAGGTAGTATTTCTGAAACTAGAGGGGGCTAGGGTGTATTTTTGAAACTAACAAGTGCTCACAAAAAAATGTCAAACACACAAGGTTTACTTTAAAAAAAAAAAAAAAAAAAACCATGAAATACAGCAAAATAAATATTCTTTTTTTCTATTTATATGATTAAATAAGCATCTTTAAACAGTTAATATAACAAATAAATGACAAAAGTTATTTATTTATTTGTTTAAGATTCCCACACAATGTTTTAATAACCAACCCGGGGTGAAACGCAGCAAAGTTGATGGGTCTCGAGTTGATCGACTGGTCAAACTAAGTGACAAAACTTTTAAAATTCAACAAATGAACCCCTAAAAATTACAATTAAGTCTCTACAAGTTTGAAATTTAGTAAACATATGTCAAATACAAATCGACCAACAACTGGTTGGTGGTGATGACACCCTAAATGCAATCCCAATCATCCTTTGAGCCAATTCCTTGGAAAATCTACCCAAAATCTGTTTGACTTCAGCCAGATCTTACCGATGCCTGCGTAGACAACCCTCCCCATCACCCCGAAAATACTTCCCTCTTTCTCTTGACCAAAACTCACCTCACCCCACCCCTGTTAACCTTGCCAATCGCCAACAAAAGCTGGCTATTGCCGCCTCTTGTTTTTTTTTATTTCCGATCAATTCACTCTCCAGAAAATCAACTCTGTTGCCACCATTGCACTCACCGACACTTTCTTTTCAAAATCCGTAACATCCCACCCTTCAATTGTTCATCAATCATAATCCCAAATTCTAAGATTTTTGGTGAATAGGAAAATTGTTAACACAGCCAGGTGAAGCTGCCAGGACCCGGTTAAACCAACTGGCCCAGGCTGGGTTTTAAGACGTTGCTCCCACACTCACACATCACAGTCACAACATAATAATATTTCTAAGAAATAATTGCTTATGTAACCCTATTTTAAGAGCCAAATTAAAAAATAATGCATCTCAAATTGTCTTTGTAAGCAAAACCTTTAATACAAATTCTGGACGATTTTGCCCATCTCCTTCAATTCACTTCACTTTACTTCTTTCTTGCTCCTTTTTTCCTTCTTTTCTCTTCTTTCTTTCTCCTATTGTTTTTAGATTTATGTTTTTTGTATTGTTTGTAAATATTTAGGGTNTCCTTTTTTCTATTTATATGATTAAATAAGCATCTTTAAACAGTTAATATAACAAATAAATTACAAAAGTTATCTATTTATTTGTTTAAGACTCTCACAAAATGTTTTAATAACCAACCCGGGGTGAAACCCAGCAAAGTTGATGGGTCTCGAGTTGATCGGCTGGTCAAACTAAGTGACAAAACTTTAAAATTCAACAAATAAACCCCTAAAAATTATATTAAGTCCCTACAAGTTTGAAATTTAGTAAACATATGTTAAATACAAATCGGCCAACAACTAGTTGGTGGCGGTGACACAAATGCAATCTCAATCATCCTTTGAGCCCATTCCTTAGAAAATCTACCCAAGATCTAGCCGAAATCGGTTTGACTTCAACTAGATCTCACCAATGCCAGCGTTGACAACCCTCCCCATCACGCCAAAAATATTCCCCTCTTTCTCTCGACCAAAGCCCACCTCACCCCACCGCCGTTAGCCTTGCCAATCGTCGACAAATGCTGGTTGTTGCTGCCTCCTTTTTTTTCGATTTCCGATCAATTCACTCTCCGAAAATCAACTTTATTGCCACCATTGCACTCACCGACACTTTCTTTTCAAAATCCATAACATCCCACCCTTCAATTGTTCACCAATCATCATCTTAAATTCTAAGGTTTTGGGTGAATAGGAAAATTGTTAACATGGCTAAGTGAAGCTGCCAGGACTCGGTTAAACCGGCTGGCCCAGGCTGGGTTTTAAGACGTTGCTCCCACACTCAAACATCAGAGTCACAACATAATAATATTTCTAAGAAATAATTGCTTATGTAACCCTATTTTAAGAGCCAAATTAAAATATAATGCATCTCAAATTGTCTTCGTAAGCAAAACCTTTAATACAAATTCTGGACGATTTTGCCCATCTCCTTCAATTCACTTCACTTTACTTCTTTCTTTCTCTTTTTTTCCTTCATTTCTCTTCTTTCTTTCTCCTCAATGTTTTTAGATTTATGTTTTTTGTATTGTTTGTAAATATTTAGGGAGATATTATATTCATAAGTGTTTAATATAAGTGAAATATTGCATATTTAGGGGAAAAAAAAAAACAAAAACTAAGTTTCTAATACTTAAATCAAATTTTCTGATTTCTAGAAAAATTACAAAAACTTGCAAGTCTGATTGCTTGAGTTCCAGTCGATCGAGTCTAGTTCCTTGAGTGGAGTAAATAATATTAACTTCACTCGAGTGAGTCTTTCTAATATTTTATAGGGTGATATTAACATTTTACATAATGGATTACAGGATAAGCAAACTATTATGACCGATTTAAAATATTAAAAAGGTCTACTTGAATGAGGTTAATATCATTATACCCTCACTCGAGTGACTAGACTTGATTGATAGACATCTAGAGATTCTAGTGATTGGACTCAAGCGACTCGAGTTTATTCAAATTTGCCTGAGTTTGTTCCTCATTTTTGAAAAAGTGAAATTTCAACCCCAATAGAATTAATATAATTTTTTTTTTTTTTTCATACACTAAACATATTTTCGACATTTCAAATGCATTATAGCACAAAATTATTTCAAAAAATCAACCAAAAAACCATAATATCTCATTCAATATTAAATTAAAGGCTTCTTCATTTTCATGGAAGCAATGGTATTCATGTGATTAAGTGTAAAAGATGAGGGTGGAAGTGTTCAAATTCTTTTGAAAGGTCTTGTTTAGAAAGCTAGTTAGAAGTTGGTTACTTTTAATTTGGCTTTTAAAGGGGGTCAACAAGTAAATTTCCCTATTTCTAAACCAAAACCTAATTATAATTTATTAATTTATCGATTTTTAAATAAATTAAAAAAAAAATATTTATCTCTTCAATTTTTTGAAGTTTTAAATACATCATCGTCTTCATCTTTTCATAATCTTTCAAGTTATAAAACGTCATTTGAAATTAAAAATACAGTCAATTTGTCGCTGACAGGATAACTTTTAGTCCATGGAGTGGATGAGGGGTAGATTCCCGAAGCTCAGGCGTTTCACCTATAACAATCATTTAAGCCTCTCATCAATCAAATATTTTATCTGAACACCAAACGAACGTCAATGGAGGGGATAATGCAGTTACCGTACGATGCAACGGTGCGGTTCATGTTAGCTTACTCGAGCGCAATTTACTACCTGACGCCGTTATTAGGAGACTAAGTCGTTGCGTTGGCCACCGTCTTCGTTTCCGGTTACAAAGCTTCCTCTGAATTACAAACTCTTGAACTCCTGCAGTTCGTACCATTGTACTATACTTCTCCACTTTCACTTATACATCTGGATGGATCTTGCTTTTTTTATAATAATTAAGAAATTAGTATGTCGAAGTTTGGATAAGGCAAAAATGATTATATTTTAAAATCTTATTCATGGCCATGGCATTGATTTCTCGTCATGTAATTGGATGAGAAGATAAGTGGAAAGTTTGTGCACCAGTATGATTGTCGCATAAATAAATTTTTATGACTGAAAATTCTGTAGAGTTAAGCATAATATTTTATGATTTCTCTGAAATTAGTCGACAATCCCTAAAAG